TCCCATTATCTTCCTTACTCTTAAGGGTCTACCCTAAGAATCATCTATTCGTTCACTCTGTATTAGGTACTAAGACAATAGCTGTCAGGGTTCATTATTTGGCACTAAGATAATACTTGTCAGGATTCTTTATTTGGCACTAAGACAATAGTTGTCTGAGTTCTTTATTTGGCACTAACACAATAGTTGCAAGGATTCTTTATTTGGCACTAAGACAGTAGCTGCTAGGGTTCTTTATTTGGCACTAAGACAATAGCTGCTAGGATTCTTTATTTGGCACTAAGACAGTAGCTGCCAGGGTTCTTTATTTGGCACTAAGACAATAGCTGTCAGGGTTCTTTATTTGGCACTAAGACAATAGCTGTCAGGGTTCTTTATTTGCCACTAAGACAATAGCTATCAGGATTCTTTATTTGGCACTAAGACAATAGATGTCAGGGTTCTTTATTTGGCATTAAGACAATAGCTGTCAGGATTCTTTATTTGGCACTAAGACAGTAGCTGCTAGGGTTCTTTATTTGGCACTCAGACAATAGCTGCCATGATCCTTTATTTGGCATTAAGACAATAGCTGCCAGGATTCTTTATTTGGCACTAAGACAATAGTTGCCATGGTTCTTTATTTGGCACTAAGACAATAGCTGCCAGGATTCTTTATTTGACACTAAGAAAGTAGTTGCTAGGGTTATTTATTTGCCACTAAGACAATAGCTACCAGGATTCTTTATTTGACACTAAGACAGTAGCTGCTAGGGTTCTTTATTTGGCACTAAAACAATAGCTGCCAGGATTCTTTATTTGGCACTAAGACAAAAGCTGGTAGGGTTCTTTATTTGACACTAAGACAGTATTTGCCAGGGTTATTTATTTGCCACTAAGATAATAGCTACCAGGATTCTTTATTTGACACTAAGACAGTAGCTGCCAAGGTTCTTTATTTGGCACTAAGACAATAGCTACCAGGATTGTTTATTTGGCACTAAGACAATAGCTGGTAGGGTTCTTTCATCGGTACTAAATCTATAAATACCAAGGTTCACCTTTCGTCTCATCCTCAAACTCATCCTTCATCACACACCAACTACGTCGACTACCCATGTTCTACCCAACATATTTGTAGATATAAAATACATATATAGTTTAAATCATTTTAAAATCTATATAAAACATTCATTCGACAACCATCTCAAGTAAACAAACAACGTATAAACACATAGCATGTATTTCATAGCAAATACTTCATATCTATGTGGTAGAAGAAAGAAACTACACACTCACCGAAACATATACTTAATACATTCATACAATACTTGTATTATACTTGTGTTTATGAAAGGGACTATACACTCACACATATAAAAAATTTATATTATATACATAACACGTATTTCATAGCAAATACTTAATATTTATGTGTTAGAAGAAAGTGACCACACACTCACCTGATCAGAAGATGATCAGACAACACTACGTATTGTAGAAGTAGTATTCTTCGGTAGATCTGGAAGATCTTCACAAAAACCGGGCTTCTCGCGGACAGAGCTTCGGCTCGGGAATCTCACTTCTCGGGATCTTCAGGCTTCGGGACTTGATTCGGGTCTCGGGATGAAACCGGGGCTTCGGGGGTACTTCGGGATGACTATGGAGGGTATGGGAGTGAGAGAGAGGAGTTGGAGCAACCCCAAACTCGGATGGCCCCTTCAAATCTATTTATAGGGCAAAATTTGTCCTTGCCACGTCGTGGTACGGTTTACCATGTCGTGGTGGTTGGGTCGTCACTACATGCGTCATTGAAAGTGGGTCTAATAGACTCCAGAGCTCCTGCCACGTCGTGGCAGTTTTACCACGTCGTGGTGGCTGACAGTTTTGGGGTTTCTCGCCCCAAACTTCAGAAATTCATAACTTTCGCATACGAACTCTGTTTTCGATGTTCTTTATATCAACGCGTAGGTGAGAATATTCTCTACAACTATCGTTTAGACTTTGTTGGCTAATATATTACTTTTATATTATTTTTAGTAGCCGGGACAGGAAAACTTCGTTATAAATTCATAACTTCTTCATCTGACGTCCGTTTCTGTCTATCTTTTTATCATTTCACTACTATAGATAAGATATTCGATTCTCATTTAGATTGTTTCAGCTAAAAATCACTCGATCTCAAAGCGAGGATTCGGGCTGCATACTGCTAAGTCGAAACTTCGGAAAAATCATAACTTCCTAATACGAAGTCAGATTTGGGCATTCTTTTTATGTATGCTTTCAGTTTAACATATTCTACGATTTTTGTTAAGATCGCTAAGGCTAAATATTGCTCTAACGTAAATTCATTTTTTACGTCATTCAGCGTCGTGCCGGTTCTGTCGCGAAACTTCGACGAATCATAACTTCTTCGTTATAACTCGGATTTCGGCGTTCTTTATATGCACGGAATCCTTGTAACATATACTACAACTTAGTTAAGATTACTCCTTCTAAATAATATTCCATCAAAAAGTCATTTTTGACGCTTATCGTCTCTAAATTAAGTAGCCCGGATCTACGGGTGTTACACAACGATCCACAATATTTTCCATAACCGGTCCGGTCCACGAGCTGGTCCAGTCTAAATGCTCACCCCTATATCATATCATATCATATCATATCATATCATAAAGGAAACATTTTTTCTTTCACCACATTCATTTGAAACTCCCAACTTTTCATATTTACATACAATATACTTAATTTATTAAATTAAATATGTTTTTAGCTGTAAAAATAATCATAAATGGAAGAATTTGTGACTTATCAATATGATATTCTTAATTTGTTAACTTCAATATATAACTAAATAAATAACTTACATTAATATATCAAATAAGCTTAAAAATTTAGTGTAAAATTTAAAACCTAAAGTAAAATATCAAATAATGTTTAAAAAAAATTCAATATATATTTGTTAACATAGTTAAAAGGAAAACATTAAATATAATAATAAAAGAACCTAAATTGATGAATCGAATTAACTAAAAGGTGTCTGAAAAGTATATTCTAATAATATATTTTTAACTTGCGCCGCGCAATGCGCGGGAATTCGTCTAGTTATATTATAAATGAAACATTTTTTCTTTCATCACATTCATTTGAAACTCCCAACTGTTCATATTTCCATATAATATACTTAATTTATTAACTTAAATATGTTTTTAATTGTAAACATCATCATAAATGGAAAACTTTTTGACTTATCAATATGATATACTAAATTTGTTAACTTCAATGTATTGTTAAATAAATAAGTTATATCAATATATCAAATAATCTTAAAAATTTAGTATAAAATTTAAAACCTAAAGTAAAATATTAAATAATGTTTTTTTTTTTAATTCAATCTATATTTTTTAATAGTTAAAAAGAAAACATTTAATATAATAAATATAAAAGAGCCTAAATTTATGAATCGAATTAACTAAAAGGTGTCTGAAAATTATATTTTATAATAATAGAAATTCAATTCAATAGTTTTTAATTAGACAAACGAGTAAACAACATTCAATTTTAACTGAATTCTGACAAAACTAATAAACTGGTAATGATTCAAGTTCAACATTCTGATTTGTATTACTGATTTCTGTAATGATTCAAGTTCATCATTCAATTATAAACGATTAATCTGAATAGCCTGTTGATAAATTGATATCGATTACCTAATAAACTGATAATGATTTTTTTATTCAAAATTACAAATAATCAAATGAGTGCTTTAAGGGTTGTCCTTGAAGGTTGAATGGTTGTTGTCTGCTGAATCATCATCGATCGACGATGATTGATGAACTGTGAACGATCAATGCTTCTACTGGGTTGTTGCAATTAGGTATTTTGCGATGCACATATGCGCTCCCTTCTCGCTGAAGCGTTCTCGATTAAGACTAATGTACTATCAGATTTAGGATGCATGAAAATTTAAGTTGCAATTAAATATACTAAAAAAAATTGGGCTCCTTAAAAAATAAGGCCCTGTGCACTAGCCCTTCTTACCCTCTTCACCACCGGCCTTGTACAAAGGTATAACAAATTTAACTTGTTCGATAGCTTAAAATCCTAAACTGGATCCGGAATCTTTTTTCTGAAACCTGTTGGTAGATGATGGTTGATTAGTGGCGGTGTTGGAACAAAGGGTAAAGAGAATAATAGAGGCAGTCAAAAATGCAAGGAAATGGGGGATTAGTGCTTTTCGGCTGTGTGGGGATGAGAGAGAGAGAGAGAGAGAGAGAGAGAGAGAGAGAGAAAGAAAGAGAGAGAGGGAGAGAGGAAGAGAGAGAGAGAGATCTTAATTGATAAGAGACGTGTCTGATGATGTATCATCTTTTAACTTTAAATGTGTTGATTAGGAAGAGGTTTTAAACCCTAAAAACATAAATTTGTACCCTTTGAATACAAAAAGAAAATCATGAAAAGCTATTTAAACCAATATACAAACGAGTGTTTGATTAGCTAGAGTAACAATAACCTTTACGAAATTAATGGTTATTATAATAAATGAACCTTTTCTTTTAGTATTTATTATAAGTTGTCAAAGAGATTTATATTTTAAAGAGTGGATGATGAAATTAGATATATTTGTTCTTTCAAAAAGTACTTATATATAAAAACTATTTTTCATGACATGCAAGAATAAATTCTGTATTAATTTAATGACTTTGGTTGTTTTTTTTTTCTTTTGGGGGGGGGGTTGTTAAAAATTCCTTGTTTGAATATTTTTTTTCTTGTTTGTGCATATGTTTCTAATTTAATATTGGTAACCGTAACACGAAATGTCAAATAAGGTAGGAAGATCTAGAACAACTCAGTTGCATAACGTCCACCGGCCGGCTTCTTGTAATTCAACCTCATATTAATCTCAATTTGGACCAACTCAAAGATGACCACCAACATACTATTGCACCATCATCAGCCACAATGATGTGACATATATGGCCATGACGGTTATATAAGCAACCAACAATTTCGCTCGTATAGTCCAAACACTCACACTTCGCCTTTGCCTTAACCTTCTTCTTCTCTCGTCGACAACAATGTGGGGAAATAAGATGATTTCTCCAACATTAGCCACGTCTTACACCAGGGAATCCAAACCCGATTCTTGTGAGTTTCATTTGCTTAATTTTTCCTTTTTTACACCATCTTGATCAGATCTTGTTTCAGAATTCAGAATCGTCTCATTGATTTATTCATTATTCATGAACTAGATTCGTAGTTCTGTAACCAAGGCTTCGTTATCATAATCATTGTGTTTGAATTAATATTTGTTGTATCTAGGGAACCTGAAGAAAGTTCTACTAATCTTCTGCATGGGGTTTTCTGCATGGGCTTATCAAACAGCTCTTCCACCACCTCCCAGGATGGTGGGATCTCCAGGTGGCCCTTCGATTACATCACCAAGAATAAAGCTTCGTGATGGAAGACATTTGTCGTATATAGAATCAGGTGTTTCGAAAGATACAGCCAAATATAAACTGATATTCATCCATGGCTTCAACTTAAATAAATACCATCACCCATTTTCCGCCACAGCCTCACCAGTACGGAATAATTCTTCCTTTAATTTATTTATTTTCCGCCATTGTTTATAAGTTGCAGCTTCTGAGTATATATATACATATATACTGCATTTTTACAGGCTCTTGTTGAAGAACTAGGGGTATACTTTGTTGCAATAGACCGACCCGGTTATGGAGAGAGTGACCCGGATCCTAAACGAACTGTGAAGAGCTTGGCATTTGATATCGAAGAGCTCGCTGATCATTTGAACTTGGGACCGAAGTTCTATGTAGCTGGATACTCTATGGGTGGTCAAGTTGTCTGGTCTTGTCTCAAGTATATCCCTCACAGGTTTGATTCAAATCTTGCAACTTTTCAAGCTTCATATATAGATAATCACATTATATTTGTAGAACTATATGCTATATATATATATATATATATATATATATATATATATATATATATATATATATATATATATATATATATATATATATATATATATATATATATATATATATATATATATATATATATATATATATATATATATATATATATATGATCTATTTTGTGCCATTAACAGGCTTGCAGGAGCTGTTCTTATTGCTCCAGGCATCAATTTCTGGTGGCCTCACTTACCTTTAAACTTAACGAACGAAGCATTTTCACGGCAACTTCCACAGGATCAGTGGTCTCTGCGTGTTGCGCACTACCTACCATGGCTGAGTTATTGGTGGAACACTCAAAAATGGTTTCCTTCTTTTTCTATAATCGATGGAAACCATGCTATTCTTTCTCCCCCAGATATAGAAGCTTCATCGAAGCTATTTGGTGGCATGAATCGTGATCAGGTATATATACTTCCGTTTTTAAGTCTTTAATTAATAATCTTATATTATATATGTACGACTAGAATGCCATGCAGTAGGGACTAGAGAATAAACAGTCAAACAAATTAATATATAAGTGTCCATGACTCATCCCAATGTATTGAAATCAATGAGTTTAGTGGATTGTGACATATCATTATATATTTCATAGAAGATATACAACTTTATATATTATTTTTTTTTCTAATAATACTATAATACGTGAACTTCTACAAAGTTCAGGACAACATATTTAAATATTTATTTTGGAATCAGAAATCGTTTATTTTTTCTTATTAAACTTCAAATCTAGTTAATACCAAATTTGCATCTCATAATATTATATAGATTATCCATTGAATACAACTAAGATTATCATCTCATGCAACTCTTTTGTTAAGCTCTGCATCCTAGATGTTTTGAGGATCACGAACATTAGTAGTTTGACGACTTAATTAATGATATTTTTCAAAACAGACTAGTTGTTCGATTTTGAGTTTTAAGTATATCAATAATAAGTTGGATAAATATAGGATCGTGTTTTATATGTATTCTTTTAAAAATCTGTGATTTCGATTTTATTACATTGCGTATCACGAAATCTGATTTGAGATAATCTAAGAACAATTGATTTGCAATTCATGACTCTTCCAAAATCGAAAACAAAGAACATACCTTTCCGTTTGCATTTTTTCAGAGAGACACTAAGTTGCATAGAAGATAATTTCCGGTTATTATAAGTTCTAACCTTTGCATGCATCATCAATCTTTCTTTTCTACATGGAAGATGGCGGTTAAGGGTGACTCTGCCCCTTGGACCCCGCACTGCCCCTAGACTCTTATATTCTCACGTTCTTATTTATTACTCCGAGTATCCGTCCCACATTTCTAGTCTCGGTGAGTAAATTGAATTCACCTGTCTAGTAATACTAACTACACTAAAACATATTGATAACACTAAAATAACCAACATTAATTGTGTTTGAACTTTAAAGATGTCAATTAATGAAATAAAACCTTTTTCTTATCATATTGGGAACAAAAATATCTATAGTAAGCATAACATTATGCTTATGGGAGCCGGAAGGCAACTGACACCATGGTGGGAAGCTCAACAAACATCATCCCACCATGGTGGCATGACCAAGAAAGAGAAAGAACAGGACAATGGGTTAGAGAGAGAGAGAGAGAGAGAGAGAGAGAGAGAGAGAGATTTTATGTGTGTATTAAATTTTATAATTTCCAATTTTTCTTCTTTATATCTTCTACATCTCCATGGCACTACTCCCTCTTTTCTTTTTCTTGTCATGGTAAATTAAAATATCGCTTATGTGGAGCTTAAGTGGTTATGACAAGCATGGAACCCTTTACAGACATTTTTTGACGGAAAGTGGAGCCAAAAATGATTTTTTTTTTTTTTTTTTTTTTTTTTTTCCTAATAATGTAACTTCCTAATATTTCTTTCTACGTCCACCATGGATTGTTTGTTACCTTTTACGTATCATGTTATATCTTTTGATATTAAATGAAACAAAGTCCAAGGTTCAAACTTCAAACGTAGTTTTTCCTAAATCCCCTTCAATTTTGATTTTAAATCACTAAATGAAACAAAGTCCAAGGTTCAAACTTCAAACGTAGTTTTTCCCAAACTTTATTACGTACTTAATTACCATTTCAATTTTTATTTGGAACTGATAAGTTATGATGAGAAATGATTTTGAATTTTTGACATCAAATTTATACTGCATCACAAGGAACCAATGGTAATGGGCTAACTGGACCAAACATGGCCCGTGTGTAGAGGTGCACAAACCGGATCCGGATTTTTTTATATTTGAATATAAATCCAAACCAGATTTTTAAATATTCGGTTATAAAATATCCGGTTCAGAAAAATCTGATCCTCTGTATATGAATCGGATACATCGAAAATTTGAATCCAAATTTGGGGGTCATATTTTATCCGAAAAAAATCTGATAACTTAGAGACTGGGAAACTAGATACAACGAAATAGAAGCATTAAAACACATTCAACAATGAAAAGAAATTTTCAAATTACTTTATATATTTCAACAAGAACACAAACTCTAATGCAACTATAACTTAAACACACATTTATAATATGTGTATACTAATGCTACTCCTCTTCTTTGTGTGTGTTAAAGCTACAAGTCATGCTATCACAACCAAGACAACAAGGCGAATTTGAATCACTCCATCGTGACTTGAACATTGGATTTGGAAAGTGGGACTTTGATCCAATGGATCTTGAAAACCCGTTTCCAAACAACAATGGATCCGTTCATTTATGGCAGGGTGAAAAAGACCTCATTGTCCCTGTGACACTACAACGTTATATAGCGCATCAACTCCCATGGATCAAGTACCATGAACTCACTAACACTGGACACTTCATAGCCTTTGCAGATGGTGTGATTGATTCTATTCTCAAAGAACTTCTCACCAAAAAGAATTAGTTTTTACTATTTGCTCTTTCTACTCTTACCATTTGATATTTTAATAGATTGTATTGAAAAGAAGAGAATGATTCATGTTACATATAATGCATTAATGCTAATAAACGTTTACAAAAAGAACGTGATTTAAGTAAACTTTCTAAAGCTGTTCAATGAAACAAAGAAATCTAAAGAGTAATTAAAGATCTTCCCAGACTTTGAAATCGGAATTGGAGTTATTGTGTTGGTTAACACAATCTTGGCATCCGATTATGAATGTTGTTCGAGTGGAATCCATGTTTACCAAAGCATGAGCAGTTCCTGATGGGCTAACAGCAACTGCTACATCATCTGCATAGAGAGTTACTTGAGCGAAACCTTTTCCAAGTGCAGTATTTTCCAATCTGAATATTGTTCGAGCTCCCCAAATCAAGAACGTTTCATTGCATGTATGGTGTCGATGATTTCCCCTCAAACCACCGGGTTTGATTTCACCGACATGAATTGAAGCACAAATTAGAGCTCCGCCTGGAATTCCGGAGTTTAGTGCGATTGAAACGGGGTCGAGCATCCAGCCACGGTTGTCTTTGGTTATCGGCGATGGGAACCCAGAAGAGAATCGGATGATATTGGCGTCATGATCTTCATCGTTGTCGAATGAGAATCTTCTGATATTGATATTGGTATTGGATGGGTTTAATGGGAATTGTGAATTCCGCTGTTGGATTCTGAGGAAGACCCAGGTTAGGATTAGGAAGATTGATAGCAAAAAGGGGAAAGCTTGTGGCTTTTTTAAGAAGAATTTCAATCTTGAGAGTCTTGCTGCTAGGGTTTGTGATTGAAGGGGGATGTTGATTTCAGTGTTGAAAATTGGAATTTCTGTGTTACTTGGGTATGAAATTCTTCTAGGGTTTGCCATTATTTGATGGATCGACATTGTTTGCCCATTGGATCTTCCCCATTTATGTGTATCGCCATCTCCCGCTCTCTACGATGCATCTTAGGGGTAAATATACAAATGGTGCCTAAACTATGGTCAAAATGTATGAAGAGTCCTTTAACAATTAATTAATATTTAATAAATTTGTCCCAAAATCCATTGTCGACACAAAAACCTTATAAGTTTGTAAAAAATGAACGGTGTTACCCTGAGTTCTAATAGTTGGAAAGCTTTTGTCAAAATTACTTTTTATAACCGGATTACCATAGCTTTATTGGACCATAACAAACATAGTTTTTAGAAGTGTAAGATGTCAAGTAAGCAACCACTCTCACTTACCATGTTAAAATCTTTTCCATACATATTCATCGTCTCTACGATTGTTCATCACCTACTACACATGAAGCAAACACACACCGACAAGGTACTAGTGAGGTGCCAAATTTAAGCCTTCACCATCTTCTCCATATGATGAAAACCAAACTTAGAAAATCCAAAAACCCTTACTATAGAAACCTGGAGAACATGAGACAAAAGCAATCAATCTTAGAGAAATGGATCGTGTTGGCAGTGACACAAACCATGGTTTTTACCAAATGGTCGGGAGCACAAGTCACTAGGTCTTTCCACATCTCTTTTCACTAAAATATATCAAAACCATTCATTTTTCGTTCCTCCCATATTTGGTACACTAAGGAGATGATGAACATGGATTTAGGGAAGTTCTACTAGTTTTGTTGGTGTGTATTTCCCTCTACAAGTATGCCACGTGTACAGAGGAGTACACTCAACGTACTCTGCTCGGTCGACTCGGCTGAGTTGGCTCGGCTGGGTTGACTCGATTGGGTGTTGACTTGACTTTTGACTGTTAACCGAGCTGACCAAGGGTATTTTAGGAGGTGTTATTAATCTAGAATGGGAAATGTTCTAATTTCTAGGAGTCGAGTAGTGCCGTTTGTCGGAGTATTGATTTATTCAGACTATTTACGGATTGAGTGGTGAGTTTTCCTCACTGTAATTACGGGTCGAAGGCACCAAGGTTGGCCCATTTGATTGATATCCTAGTTTACTGCATGTTGATATGTTGTAGTGATATGTTACATCTGTATTCTAGTATAGAGGATATTGTTACATTGTAGTGATCTGTTAGATCTGTATGACTACTTGTATCTACTAGCTATTGATTGTTATGGTGTATGTTGATGTGTGATGGTTACTGGGTTAAGGCGGACCAGCTGAGACTGAAGGCCAAGATACGCAAGGTAGTACAAATAGATTGAAGGCCTGCGAAGCAGACCAGTCAGGCCAAAGTCCAAGAGAACGGTCCGGATAGGCTGAAGGCCTAGCGAGGCAGTCCAGTAATGTTGAAGGCTCTATATGTATGTTGTAGTTTGTTATGTTTATGTGGTGGTACTTTGGGGGAACTCACTAAGCGTTGGTTTATAGTTTTATTTTTGTTTCAGGTACTTCTAAGGATCGTGGCAAGGTGAAGGCGTGACCGTATACATCATGGCTTTTATGTTGTTGATCTTGGGAGACTCTAAATTTGAATAATGTTTTTGGAAACAATGGTTATGTAAACACTTATTTTTGTTTTGAAAACTTTATATTTGTTGTGATTATTGAGATGTTACAAATTGGTATCAGAGTCTTGGTTTGAGCGAATTGGATGAACATCCGTGTGAATACAGGCTCAAACTAAGGAACTACAAAAGTTTTACAATTGATTTTCAAAATTACTTTCAAAAGTAACCATGGAAGGATGTTATGTGTATGATCAACCCGAACCAATAAGTATTCCCCAAGTCACCCACACAGTTATTTGCTATTATATTTATGATAGAACATCGTGCTAGTGATAGACTAGGGATCTTCAGGAATTGCATGATAGAATTACCTGATTATTGATGCCTGATAGCCTAGGGTTTCTTTCTTGTATGGAATTGACATCATTATTGTAGTTACTTAGTGTATGCATCATAGTTGTACATAACTAAGATTCTATAACCTGAGAATGTTTAGTTTAGCCTTATTTCCTATTCTTTTTTGATGAAGGGTTGAGGGTGGAATCAGGTATTTGACTGTCTATAGGATCTAGGGTGGTGGAAATTTCATGGATGAGTTATGTGGGAGTTCGCTGGCTAGTTGAGGGATGTTTTTCCTTTCTCTGGGAAGTAAGAACAAGATGTGTGCGTATCCAAGTGTGTGTTGTTAAGGTTGTTGTGATTATCTTCTGAGACAAATACGGGTAGGTGTGGAAGGTAGTATGGGCCCGTACTACTAGAAGCACATGACCCGTACGCGTAGCACGGAATTCACAACCCCCTAAGGCTTTGTTGTGGAATGGCTCATATGGTATGATATGTGCCTCATATGATATTTTTTGGTTTATTTTCAGTATGGTTGATACGAGGCTATTTGAGACAGGATCTGGATCAGGAGTAGGAGTGATTGGCCATGATAGGCTATGGCTGACTGAGGACCAAGATAGGGAGATGATTCATATTGAGGTTGTTTATATTGTATGGGGCAGATATCGGGGCTGTTTGGGTCTATCAAGACCACCATGATGGAGTTCTTTGATGACTGATACAATGCACTTTTTGAGATTGATGTTGTTGCAGCTACCACGGTCTTCGCTGTTGCGGGGATTGGCGTGGGGAGAGCCTTCCAGTACCATGACTTCAATAATACGAAGCCCATGGTGTTTGATGGGGTTCAATGTAACATCCATAAAATTCAATCCAATTTAAAACTTTTTAAATATCCAAAATACCATTAAAATTTACAAAGTGTTTTCAAAATAGTCTAAGCATCAGAGTTCCCAGAAAACATAATCATAAATCGAGGAAGTGTCCAGCCACACCTTCGCCTTCCCGCAGTCATCCGTTGTACCTGAAACAATAATCAATAAACGCAAGCTCAAAGGCTTAGTGATTTACACCCAGAATACCCATACACCCAACGATACACATACAATAACAAACAACATACTATGGGACTAATCATCCATAGGGATGGGATACCCCAGGACCTCAACCATCGGGTTGGAATGCCCACACACAAAACATATATAACAGATACTATGGGTCCAATCATCCATCAAGATGGAATACCCCAGGCCCTCAACTATCGGGTTGGAATGCCAACATACTATGGGTCCAATCAACGATCGGGTTGGAATACCTCAAGACCTCAACCATTGGGTTGGAATGCCAACATACTATGCTTCCAATCAACCATTGGGTTGGAATACCCCAGGCCCTCAACTATCATGTTGAAATGCCAACATACTATGAGTCCAATCATCCTTGGGATGGAATACTCTCGGCCCACAACTATCGGTTTAGAAGCCCCCCCCCCCCAACCAATCAAACATGTGCACCTATATCAAATAATCATATAACAGTCTACAAAGACAACATACTAGGGTCCTATCATCCTCAGGATGGAATACCCTCAACTACCAATCAATCATGTGCACATATAACAGGTAATCTCCTACCAACATACAGATAGTCAGACCAAACTATAGGTCACTAAGCATAACCACATCCGATCTACCGGGATACTGATCAAACAGATCATGGCAACATATAACATCCTATCTACCAGGATACTGATCTCACAGATCATAACAACATATAACATCCTATCTATCAGGATACTGATTTAACGGATCATAACAACATATAACATCCTATCTACCAGGATACTTATCTAACGGATCATAACAACATATAACATCCTATCTACCAGGATACCGATCTCACGGATCATAACAACATATAACATCCTATCTACCAGGATACTTATTTAACGGATCATAACAACATATAACATCCTACCTACTAGGATAATGATCTAACGGATCATAACAACATATAAATTCCTATCTACCAGGATACTGATTTAACGGATCATAACAACATATAACATCTTATCTACCTGGATACTGATCTAACATATCAAAACAATACTCGAGCATATAACATATCGGGATAGATATCCACAAGGGTCAGCCTTGGTGCCTTAGACCCTTGATTATAGTGATGAAAACTGTTAGGTGCATTTCATGTACCCATTTTGTAGTTTTATTTCATAAAAGTACATTGCATATAGGCTTAAACTCATGCATTTTGCATGTTTTTCGGGATTTTTCATGAGGCAATTTCATTCAAATACTTTTGTGATATTTCAGGGACTTTTGGAGGTAGGATATTGTTGGAGGAGGTAAATAAAAGTTGTGGACAAAATTTGAGGACTTGCGGAGCACCGAAGAGCAAGATATCAAAGAAATGAAGATTTTTGCTTTACAGAGATTTACATGGCGGTGTAAATGCAAGACTTGTGTTTACACGGGCCGTGTAAACGTAGATTTCTGCGTAGTATATTTTTGCGTTTACGCGGGCCGTGTAAATGACAGTGTTAATTTAGGTGGGCCGTGTAAACGTAAACGTGAGTTTTAAAGCAGTTTTTTACCATTCTTAAAGGGGGAACCGACTTTTTACTTAGGGGGGTCGACTTTTAGAGAAGAGAAGGCGATTTTCTTAAGGATTTTCAAGTTGATTAACACTTGGGAACATTTGATTTCATTTTGTAAGAACTTTAATTTCATTTTCTAGATTTGTGATCTTGTTCTAGTCATGAGTGGCTAGAACCCTAGATTCTCCAACTTTATGTCTTGACTTCTAGTTGTGATTTCAATCATATGACTTGATGTTTTCTTTCAATTTTCTATCTAGTGAATTTGATTTTGTTTCAATTGAATGTTTGATTCTAATTGTCATTCTTATTGGCCATTTGAATTAGGGTTAGATCATTCAAGTTATCTAATTGCAAAATCTGTAATTGTTTTGTAAATTGGGCTAGGTAACAAGCACTAAACTGATTTCTATTAAATGAATTTAGTGTAAATCTTATTCACACATTCTTATGCTCCCGAGCTTATGAGGAGTATTGAGTGTTGTTGGGAACAT